TCTTGGCCCGTCTTCGGGCCCTCTTGGGCCCACAAGAGTCATGCGACAGTGTGGATTCTGATCTGGCCCCGGCGAGGCCAGGTCTCTGTCCATGTCCGGTGCGTCTCGGGCTCTTGGTATCCTTTCTCTGGAGGGCTTCTCCGAAGGGCTTAGGCGACCCGTCCTCCTCCTCTCTCCTCCTCCTCCTCCTCCTCCTCCTCCTCATCATCATCATCATCATCATCATCATCATCATCATCATCATCTTCATCATCATCATCATCATCATCATCATCATCATCATCATCATCATCATCATCATCATCATCATCATCATCACCATCATCATCATCATCATCATCATCTCCCAGGTTCCACACACTACGAGGAAGTTCGGCCGAGCCCCTGCATCGTTCGTGGAGCGCGAGATCCAGACCTTCCTGGAGGCCTTGCTGAAGTAGGCCGCCTCTTCGCTCAGCAGCGTGGCGCAAGCCAGATTCTGGGATCCGTCGGTGACGGTGACCTGCCTGCTGAGAGGGGGCCTACAGACCCTCCTGGAGGCCTTGTTGAAGTAGGCCCCCCCTTCGTTCAGCAGCGTGGCGCAAACCAGATTCTGGGATCCGTCGGTGGCGGTGACCTGCCTGCGGAGGGGGAGCCCGCAGACCTTTTTGGAGGCTTTGCTGAAGTAGCCAGATTCTGGGATCCGTCGGTGACGGTGACCTGCCTGCTGAGGGGGGGCCCAGCGAGGATGATGATGATGAAGACGATTGTCGTATACTTGAGGCTTCGACACTTCCTGAGGTCAACCGTGTGCGAATAGCGTTCAACCTGGTTGAGATTGGGTTGTGTTTTTTTGGACCTGAATCTCGAGTTGCCGAACCTGTTGCATATATCGATTTGAACGAGTATCTACCTACGTCTGCTTTCCGACTTCCGCCGACACCGATTGGGGCCAGCTCTTCCACTTCTTCAACTAGGCCCGTCAGCCATTCTGTGCTCTCTGTTTCTTCTCCTTCCTTACTGGCCCCTCTCGTGCCTCGGAGCCTTCCTCCCCCTCCTCCCCCCGACCTCCTGGAACTGGCAAGCAAATAACTACTGAATATCTGGCCTCTCGAGGGATCTACCCAGGGTCTCAGAGGTTTGCCGGTCTTGCTAGCAGTCGAAACATTCCTGGCATTGCTAAACAAGCGGTAAACCCTGAATAATCCCGCCCCAGTCTCCTGTGGCTACCTTCTGCGTCGGTGGCTGCAGGGGCCAGGACGGCCCCAAGGCGGGGCCACGTTTGCGGCCCTGGTGCTTAGAGCTTGGCATAGGCGCCCTCTCCAAAGGGAAGGTTCACAGTCAGTCTTGAATGTATCAGGGCCCACTGCTGCGCGATTTTGAAGCTCAGTGAGTACAGTACTCACATGACAATCAGACAACATGGCGTCAGGGGTGTGCGTATCGTATCCTCATCATCATCATCCTCATCCTCCTCCTCCTCGTCCCCACCTCCTCCTTCTCCTCCTCCTCCTCCTGCTCCTCCTCCTCCTCCCCCTCCTCGCTCCCCTCCTCGGGTCGCCAACGGCCCCGGGGGAAACCGTCCACCCTTCCCGGAGATTCCAAGACGCCGTGGGTATGGACGGTATGGACAGACGCCATGTCCGCAGCACTTCAACGAGCAGCACCTGCGCCAACGCGGTCTGTCGGATCGCTTCGCGGATTTTTTTGATCGGCGCAGGGCCCCGCTGGCGGTCCGCGCGCCGACCCGAGGACTCCGCGCGGGGCTCCGACAGTCCTGCCTTTGGCGTCCACCGCTCCGGGGTCGTGCCCCCGGGGTCTCGAGGACAGGTGGATATGGATACCGGCCCGCCCGCGTGGGCAGGCAACTATCCACATCGCAGTATTGTTGAGGGCAGGCGCTTGGACGAGCTGCGTGCACCTTGAAGGTCCTCCTTGCCCACGCGGTGTCGGTGGGGAAGGCTTCTCCACATCAGCCCTTGACGGGGCGAGTCGGCCAGCATATTCGTTATGCCGATGCTGGCAAATCATGGGCGCCGGGTAGCAGCAGAGAACAGCTTAGGAGACTCATCCTCCGCTTCCCGAAGGCCCTGGGGCACGACCCCTCGCCAGTGCCTGTGGGCAGACTGTGGCGGCGCAGGCGCTTGTGCCTTGGAAGGGGCGCTGCTGTGGACGTTTGGCTCATCTCCAGCCTGCATCCAGCAGCCGGGCCGAAGAGCGGTGTGTGTGTGTGTATGTGTATATATTTATATACATATATACATATATACATATATACATACACACATGAAAGAGCGCCTTTTGTGGTCGCTTGGAGGGGTGGGTGGGTTGGAACCGGACCCCCCCACCCTGGATGGAGGGGGGTGGTTCGAAAGGGGGGGCGGGGGTATTTCTACCTCCCCCCTCCCGCCCCCCCCTCCCCTACTTCTCCTCTCTCCCTTTCCTCGGGCCAGCGCCTACGTCGGCGGCGGCTGGCGGGCGGCGGCGGGGACGACGACTTTTTTTGGGCCGGCGCCGGCGCCTGCGGCGGCGAGCGGCGGTGGCGGGGAGCGTCGACGAGGACGACGGCGCCGACAATGACGACGACGAAGTTCTGGGTCAGAGTCCTGATGGATGCCTCTTGGGGTCTCGTAAGAGGGCTCTCGGGGGTCTCCGAAGGGCATTTGTGCAGCTTCTTGGACGTTTCTTGGGTGTCTTTTGGGGCCTCTCTGAGGTGGTTGTAGTGGCAGGTTGTGGCTGTGGTGGTTGTCGTGATGGTGGTGGTGGTTGTGGCGGCGGTGGTGGTGGTGTTGGTGGTGTGGTTGGTGGTGGTGGTGGTTGTGGTGGTTGTAGTGGCAGGTTGTGGTGGTGGTGGTGGTGGTGACGGTGGTGGTGGTGGTGGTGGTGGTGGTGCGGTGGTTTCTGGTGGTGGTGGTGGTGGTGGTAGTTGTGGCGGTGGTGGGTTAAGGTGGTGGTGGCGATGGCGGTGGCGGTGGTGGTGTGGTGGTCTGTCGTGGAGGTTGTGGTAGTGGTAGTGGTTGTGGTTGTGGTGGTGGTGGAGGTGGGTTGTGGTGGTGGTAGTTGCGGTGGTGGTGGTTGTAGTGGTGGTGGTGGTGGTTTGTTGCGGTGGTGGTGGTGGTTGTGGTGGTGGTGGTGGTTGGTGGTTGTGGTGGTGTGGTGGCGGTGGTGGTGGGTTGTGGTGGTGGTGGTGGCGGTGGTGGTGGTTGTGGTGGGTGGTGGTGGTGGTGTGGTGGTTTGTTGTGGTCGTGGTGGCTGTGGTGGTGGGTGGTGGTAGTGTTGGTGGTTGGTGTTGTGGTGGTAGTTTGTGATGGTGATGGCGGTGGGTTGTGGTGGTGGTGGTGGTGGTGGTGGGTGGTTGGTGGTGGTGGTGGTGGGTTGTGGTGGTGGCGGTGGTTGGTGGAGGTGGTGGTGGTGGTGGTAGTGGTGGTTTGTGGTGGTGGTGGGTGTGGTGGTTTGTGGTGGTGGTGGTGGGTTGTGCTGCTGGTAGTGGTGGTGGTTGTGGCGGTGGTGGTGGTGATGGTGTGGTAGATTGTGGCGGTGGTGGTAGTGGTGGTGGGTTTGTGGTGTGGTGGTAGTGGCGGTGGTGGTAGTGGTAGTGGTGGTAGTGGTGATGGTGGTGGTGGTGGTGGTGAGTTGTGGTGGTGGTGGTTGTGGTGGTGGTGGTGGCTGTGGTGGTGGTGGTGGTTGTGTGGTTGGTTGGTTATGGTGGTGGTGGGTTGAGGTGGTGGTGGGTTGAGGTGGTGGTGGTGGTGGTGGTAGTGGTGGTGGTGGTGGTAGTGGTGGTAGTCGTCGCTGCGCCCTCGCCGTCGGCGCTGCTGGCCGCCGCCGTTCGCCGGCGCCGGCGAGGGGGGGGGGTTTGAACCCCTTCCCCCCATTCTTTTCCCTTGGGCTGCTTCTGGTCATTGTCGCTGCGTCCCCGCCGTCGGCGCTTCTGGCGGCCGCCAGCGCCGGCGCCGGCGCCTGCGCTGGGCATCGGTGCTGGGTGGGGGGAGGGGGAAGGGTTCGGGGGGGGGGGGGGTCAGGGGGGAGGGGAGTTCCAAGTCCCCCTGTTTCTGATCGACGGCGCCGAGTGTTGGGGGGGGGCCCACCCCCCGGTTCGAAACGCGCCGCCGAATGTTCTTAAGGCAAGGGCCTGTGAAACGCGCTCTCTCTCTCTCTCTTTCTCTCTGTCTCTCTTTCATACACATATATATACACACATACTATATCCATACATGTATGCATGTATGTATGCATGCATGCATGCATACATGTATGTGTGTATGTAGGAATGTAGTTATGAATGAATGAATGAATGTATGTATGTATGTATGTGTGTGAATGTATGTGTGTGTATATATATATGTCCCCCCTGGCCAAGCCAGGATGGCGTACTCACCGTTCCTGTCAGCCTGCAGGTAGCGAGATACAGCGCACGGCCCTGGAGGTGGCCTTACACAGTTGCTGAGTCGGGCCTACGAACCCATCCCCAAATCTGCAGCGCAGTTGTTTCGAGCCGGGCTTGCGCTGAGTCCACGCCCGATCCTGGGCTCAGGATGGGCCTTGCAAGGATCGGTGATGTGTTTGGCTGACGTCTCCCGACTGGTAGGCGTCAGTTTCCCCTTGTCGATGATCGGCAGGACGTGTGTTATTGCAATGTGTGTGTGTGTGTGTGTGTGTGGGAGTGTGTGCGTGTGTGTGGTCTCGCGTCTCAGGGCCCAGCCGCGCGCGCCAGTTCCGTTCCGCTTGGTCGACTTGCTCGCTTCGTCGCTGCGCGCGAGGCCGGCCGCAATCGCTAACAAGTGTTTGTGTGTGTGTTTGTATGTGTTCGTTTGCCCCGTTCAGCCCCACCGATAGCACGCATCCTGTGTCGGCCTTGCTTGAACCGCCTGCGTCGTGCTCAAGAGATATGATCGAGAAGCACGCGTGGGCGCTGCCACATCTTTTCCGGAGCGTCCCAAACTCTGCGGGGGCAAGTGACAGTCGGAACGCGTCCGGGCAGCACGGTCGTCGGGAAGCAGAGGCCCGGCGACTCTTTGCCGAAGCCGCCATCCAGCCAAGCAGGCGCCGGGGCGCCCCTCGGCGCGCACGTGCGCGTCTACGGGCCGTGAAAACGACCACAGCCACTGCTTTTCTTTTGTTGCCTTCTTCCAGCCCGCAGAGACAAAGCAGTGGTTGTGGTCATTTTCGTTAAGCTTGGCACCAGGGAAATGACCGCAGCCACTGCTTCTTTTTCGGCCGGCTGGAAGGCGGCGCGAACAAGAAGCAGTGGCTGTGGCCATTTCCCCGTCCCGCCGCGTCGTTGGCGCTGGCGCACGTTCTGAGGACCATCGAGGCTTGGGCGCTGCCTGGCTCACCACCCTCCAAACCACCCCAACCCAACCCGAAGGCTCAGATGTACCCTCGATTCCCAGTTGGGGGGGGTCGGGAAACATCGACAAAAACACATGTGGAACCCTTACCCCCCCCAACCCGAAATTCGGGTCTTCGGGTTGGGTTGGGGTGGTCTGGTAGGTAGTCAGCTGGCTGAGCTGGGCCAGGGCATGGACGCCGGGACGCAGACCAGGCCCGCGCCGGCGCCGCCGGAGGTCCTGCAGGCGAGGGTCGAGGAGCTGGTGGCGGAGAACGGGCGGCTGAGAGCCGAGGCCTCGGGGGAGCAGGGATGTTCACTTGGCATGGCTCGGACGTGTGCATTTTTCCTTCGGCGAGGACCATCCAGGAGCATCCTTGATCATTTGGCGAGAAAGCCACGCACGAAGCCAAACAAAAACACAGGGAATGGACGTCCGAGCGATGGCGAGTTCAGGGTTCGGTCGGTTCACGGTTCAGTTTGAAATATATCCCTATCCCTATGTTTGACATCACCTCACCTCGATGCCGATCTTAAGGATTCCCTCAGTTTCTGGGCGCCTATCCCTAAGATTGTCCTCGCTTTTTGCTCGCCCATCTTAGGGATAGGGATACGTTCGAGGCTGGTTAAAGGGTGTTCACGGTTCGGTCGGTTCGGTTTTGAGTCGCAGTCGGTTGCGCTCGGTCGATTCGGTTCCGTCGGTTTCTGTGTCGTTGCCGCGTGGCTGCGCCCTGCCAGGCTGCTTTCAGCCTGTCGGTCTCGGTCGGTTGTGGTGTCGCTGTCGGTTCGGTCGGTTTTCGGTTGTGCTGTCGCCGTTCACGGCCTTGGGGAGGAGGAGGGGGAGGAGGAGGAGGAGGTGGAGGAGGAGGAGGAGGAGGAGGTCGGCGTCATAAGTTGTCGGGGATGGGAGTTCGGCAATCCCTCCTGGCCATGGAAAAATCACGACGGGAGGTTTCCGCAGATCTTCTGCCTCTCGGGACCGTCAAACTCTGACGCAGGATGAAGAGCGCGGTTCTGGGGAATGGGTTACGACCTCTGTTGGTCGGCGTTTTGAAAAGTCACACCTCTCTGGATCTTAGAGCCGAGGCTCGGGGAAGGGGAACTCTGGGCTTCCCAGGTGGGGTCGGATTAGATGGGGTCGGGGGATCGCGCCGCATCGCCGATGCATCGGCGACGCCTCGCTGCGGTAATTTGCTCCGCGCCGACATCGCCGATGCGTCGCCGACGTCGCCGATACGTCGCCGATGCATCGCCGATGCATCAGCGATGCATTGGCGATGCGGCGCGATCCTCCGACCCCATCTACTCCAGATCTCGTAATAAAAGGGAGGGGGTCTGGACCCTCCAAGACAAGCCATTCCAGACCCCCCCCCCCGGTGGGAGAACCCTCCAGAAGCATCGCCCCCAGACCCCCCAGGCCCCCCAAGATAGCCTCGAAGAGACCCCCCCCGAAGTGAGACCCCCCTCCTGTTATTTAATCGCTTCGCTCATTCCGCCGGCCCATATTGTCGCACCGTTGTGGGCTAGCCGAGTTTGGGGGCCTCTTGGGGGCCGTTTTGGGGCCTCTTGGGGCTTCTTTTGGGCCTCTTGGGCGCCTCTTGGGGCGTCTTGGGGGCCTCTTTGGGGCCTCTTGGGGCCTTTTTGGGGCCTCCTGGGCGCCTTCTGGGGCGGAGGGCTCGATTTCCCCCGAAGTGAGACCCCCCTCCTGTTCATTGCGAACTCTGGAGTGCTCGGTCCCCGTCTAGGAGGCCTGTAGCAGCGGCGTCCTGGGCGCAGGCCGTCGGAGGTCCTCGCGGACCTCCTCGGGGCCCGGGCGCGGGGCCCCCCTGCTGCTGAGGGGGGGGGGGAGCGGTGGCGGGAGGAGTGCGCCGAGTACTCCAGATTTCGTAGAACGTAGCCCCCTCCTCCTCCTCCTCCTCCTCCTCCTCCTCCTCCTCCTCCTCCTTCCCGTAAGTCGGGCCTGTCCCCCTACGGGGGGATTTTCGACGAAGAAGTGCACCAAAAATAGTCAAACAGTAGTCGGGACGTAGCCCAGATCTCGTAAGAAAGGGATGGGGGTCTCATTTCGGGGGGGGGTCTCTTCCAGGCCATCTTGGAGGGCCTGGGGGGGGTCTGGGGACGACGTTTTGGAGGATTCTCCCACGGGGGGGTGTCTGAAGCGGCTCGTCTTGGAGGGTCCAAGCCCCCTCCCTTTTCTTACGAGATCTGGAGCAGGCGACTCGAAGGGAGGACGGTGCCACTGGACGCCAGCACGGGCGGTTGCCTCCAGGGGTGGACGATCCTGGACTCTGATGTTGGTGGTCATCTCTGGGCCAAGGTCGCCTCAGAGACGCTCGAGTCCTGCCACCGTCCCCGAGATTCCCTCGGTGGAGGCAGCCGCCCACAGTGGTGCGGATGCCAATGTTTCTAGGCCTCCCGGGAGCAAAGCGCTGTCAGAGTTCCGCGCGGATCTCTGAGATCGGCGATGGCTCGCCCTCCCTGGCGCGCGGCGCCGCTGGCGCCGCCAAGGGGGCCCAGCGCCAATCCTGGCCCCAGTTGATTCAAGATTTGCCTCTGGACCCCTCCTGGGGTCGGAACGTTTGTGCTTGTGCAGTTTTTTTTTTTGTGTGTGTGTGTGTCCTTCGGGGAACGACGAGTGACATAAACATAAACAGCTCGGAGGTCCGCGCGGACCTCCGAGTTTTGGTGTTTATGCCACTCTTCGTCCCCCCATTCCTCTCCTTCTGCAGGTGGATCGGTGGCGGGAGGAGCGCGCCGAGGAGGCGGAGCTCGGGGAGAAGGGGGCCGCCGAGTACGCGGCCGAGCTGGCCAGGCTGAAGGCTGGCGTGGAGGGGCTCCGGTCGGAGCTCCGCGGCAGGCTGAAGGATAGGAGGAAGAGGTGCCCAAACCTCTACGGTAGGTTTGCGTCGTGACGACCAGCGGCGACCCCAGCGCGGGCGTTCAAGGTTGAACGCCGCCGGCGACCCAGAATCGATCGATGTGGAACGATCGGACGTTGCGGCAGCGGCCGATCGTTCAAGGTTGAACGATCCCTGCGGTGTCAAAAACCAACGCTGGGGTCGGCACGACACGAACCTGCCGTACCCTTTCCTCGTTTTGCCCTTTTCGGGCCTCCTCGGAGGCCCTCGTCGCCACCGTCGGATTCGCCTCGGAATTCTTGTCAGAACGCACCCCGGGAGAGGTCCGGGGAGTAGCGGTAGCTGTACCTTCCGGATTCCCCAGGTATGGGGTCGCGATCGGTCCGATCGATTGTCTTCGGGACGCGTGTTGGCCCAACCTGTGTTGACCCCGTTCAGCTCCGTCGATGGGACGCACCCGTGCAGGCCCTCAGCAGCTGCGCCGCCTGCGTTCCATGGGAGGGCTTCGGTAGGCAAGCACACGTTTCTGGTTGACCCAAAAGGGGGTCCAGCGACAAGGGGGTGGTGCAATAGATTTGGTGCAGTAGATTTGTGGGGTTGCAAAACAATTGGGGCGTGCAGTACATTTCGGGGCGCAAGTGTATTGCTCGATTTTCGCGTGCAACACATTACTTGCAATACAATGCAATCCGATTCCCCTTTGCAACACAATGGCCCCAACTCTGTTGCACCACCCCCTTTCAGCTGCACCCCTTTTTGGGTCACCCAAAACGTTTGCGTTTGCGCACGTGGTGAGGGTCGTCTGGCTGGGCAAAGGCAAAGCTTGGGGACGAAGGCCCGCAGCCGCTCCCGCCGGTCCCGAGCCTGGCCCTGCCCTCGGTGCCGCCGCGGGCGCTGTGCTCCGCTTGGGGCGAAGAGCCGCCTGCCCAACAGCGGCCGCTGCCGATGATCTTGGCATCGCTCGGACGTGTGCATTTTGCCTTCCCCCTCCTCCTCCTCCTCCTCCTCCTACTCCTCCTCCTCCCCCTCCTCCTCCTCCTCCTCCTCCTCCTCCTCCTCCTCCTCCTTCCGTAGCCATTTTGGCTCAAGGCTGATGCTTTGGCGGGCTGAGCCCGCATTGGCAGACACGGATACCGCTAGTCCGCGGCAGCTTTCATCCTTGCGAGGCCTGGTCCGCCCCAGGTCTGCGCGTGCGGCCCTTGCCCCAAGGGTCAGCACATCCCTCAGCACGGGTAGGTTCAGCGCGGGCCGTGCACAGTCATGGGCAGGCAGCAGCAGTTTTCGTATCATGGTTTCGTTGCTTGTCCTCACGATGGGTGTCGGTATACATCGAATTGGAAGAGGCACGCATCCTGTTGGCAATGTGGTGGCTTGTTGCGTCCACTCGGTGGCCAGCCCCCGCCACGAGATGCAGGTTCTTGGAACACGGGCCCACCTTCTTTCCAGTGCACCAAGCGGAGCAGTCCATTTGCCCTGCCGCCTGGGAAGTGGACTCAATATACAACGTCTCCACCAGCTACGACAGCGTTCCTCGGAGACGGCACCGCTCACCCCTTCGCCCCCGCCACCGACCAGCTCATGGACGCCCTGCTGCGCAGGTTGCGCAAGCAGGAGCGCAGCTCGAGGCTTTCAAGCAGGTCGCTGCTGCGTCAGCAGCAGTCTCGCAGCCGCAGGCCCCCACCAACTCCAAGCCCGACCTCGAGAGAGAGCGAGAAGCCCAGCGCCTGGCGGTGGCTTCGCGCAAAGCTGGAGAGGCTCTTACCAAAGCTCTGGACCACGAGGCCGACTGCGAGAAGTGGTTGGCAGAATCCCGAGCTGAAGTACAAGCGCGAGCGCAAGAAGCAGCAGATGCCCGTCCTCGACGCGAACAGCAGCTCGAGGCATATATTCAGCGTGTCAAGCAAGCCGTCCCAGACGGCGGCTCACGGCCCACCCGTGCTAAGCCTGCGTACTTCAATGTGTCCAGAGTCCTCGAGGCCGAGGAGAATGAGCTCGAGGACCTCGTCGAATTCGAAGATGGAGAGTTTTCTTCGACTACGCGGAGCTGGATCTCTCAGAGGAGGGCGTCAACGCCTGGCAGGGGCACAAGGCGAAGCTGGCGCAGGAGGTTAAACAGCTCATTATCCAGGCAGTTGGCCTAGCAGCAGCTCAACTGGCACAACGAAAGAATGATTTCCAGGAGCTCCGCGCGAGGATGTCCCTCAAACGTCCCAATGCCCAACCTGGCGGCGCTGGAGTGGCATCTGGAGGTGATCGGGATGCCCCTGCAGGCCCAGCGTCCGAAGCGGCAGCGCCAGCAGCAGCGCCAGCAGCCAAGGCCCCTCCGAAGGCCCCCACGGCGCAGGCACCAGCGCCTGAACCAGCGACAGCCGAGGCTCCACCGTCTTCGGCAGCTTCCTTGTCAGCGGCACCGGCTCCAGCCTCGTCTCAGGCAGGAATCGCTTCTGCAGATAAATGCAGCGTCTTTTGGAAACCGCTCGTGGGGCCGAGGCTGCCAGGGCAGATTTCGAGAAGTTCGATCGGCAGCCGACAGGGGGTAACACTTCGTGGCTTTATCCTAAGGCACGAAGGCCGCCTCGCCAGCAGCCGAATATCCGACGCATCATTCCACGCAATTTTTCGTTGTGGGGCAAGAGAAGCACCACACTCTTTGAACAAAGCGACGCAGATATCATTATCACCCCAGAGACACATGTGTTGCCAGAGGACACTCAGGATATTTTGAGTACCTTGAAGCTGAACAAATGGCAAGGAGTCGTATCGCCAGCATATCCTACGGCAAAGGTCAGCAAGGCAGGGAGGTGTGGTCCTCGGCATGCGACAGCATAATTCGTGGACGTCTTACAGGCACTTGTCCGACGACGATGCGAACATGATAGGCCACGTTGGTATCTCCGACTCCAAGGCAGCAGGCCCCCTTTCGTTTCGAGGCGTCGTCGCAGTGCAGTGGCGGATATCCAAGGTTTCCTTATTGGTAATTGGCACTTGCCTCGCGGTCTCGATCGGTCCCTTCAAACCGCGACGGACCGTGGGTCGTGATGGGAGGTTTCAATGCTACACCCTTGGGAATGTCAAGGTGGACGCGCAGATGGAATGGCCAAGTGTACTACCCTTCGGATGCCGCACATTCTTCTACTCGTGGTTCAGGGCAGCGTATCATCGATTACGCCATCGGCTCGCACGATTTCGCACCACTCCATCACAGTTCTCAACTATTGGACGCGGAAGGTGGATATCACAATGATATTCTTTTTGAACCCAACATGGCGACCCACCTCGCCGCGCGTCGAGTTCTGGATTTGCCGAGGCCCTTCTTGCCGCCTTTGCCTTCCAAGATCAGCTCAGACCCCAACAGCAAGAGATCCAGGAAGAAGCTTGCTTCAGAGCAGTTACGCCAACGACGAGCAGACCGCGACAACCAGATCGAGCAACCAGAACCCGAGCCCGCGGTTACAGCACCTCTCCTTTGTACCCCTTTTCCAGACTCGGCTCGGAGGTTCCTGCACAGAGATCCCTGCGACTTCGATTCCGACGCACTCGAGCAGCTGTGGCGGTCTTCAGTGGTCGAGAAGACAAATGTTACGGAGACGGGGACTACCGATATCCAGCCAGCTAAATATCTGGAGTGGGACACCGATTCCTGGGGCGCCCCGTGGAATTCTATTTCGGACAACACCCTGGCCAAGAGCGCGTGGACGTCACCGCCAGAAGCTTGGATCAATGATAGTTACCCTTTCAAGCGCGACCCAGACTCGGCACTTTCCCTTGGTTCAGAATGTGGCAAGTTCACAAGCTGTTTGGAATCCTATGTGTGCAGGGTAGTTGAAGTGCCAACGTCCAGACAATGGCAGTATCGAGGGCGAGGAGAATCGAGAGAGTTCAAGATGTTACCTCTTTCGCCCCCCTCAGTTTCTTGCGCTCGCTCGGACAAGTCTAGCAGATGGTGGTTGCAAGTTTCAGGCTGGATTCAAGAGCTACTACGGCTTCTACCAGCGAAGATGTCTTCAGGGGCTGGAGCCCCCACGCGGACAGACCCGGCGACCGCGGGCCCCCTCCGCCCCCGCGAGTCTGTGGCGAGGGCCAACTCGGGGGGCGCCCAAGGGCCGAACGAGGGGGGGCGTCTCGGGAGCTAGGTCGGAGGTCTTCCTTCGGCTTCGCATCCTCCCCGCGTTGCATTGCCCGCAGTTTCGGGGAAAAAAAACATAGCCAGGGCCAAGCCGAGACGCGGTTTCTTGGTCAATCGTCTCATGCAGGCGCCAGCAGACATGCCGACCTCAGGACGCGGACAAGTCGCGGGCAGAGACAGGTATGATTGGATTTGCTCTTTGATGATCATGCGCAATTTTTCGGAAGAAGTTCTTTCGTTGATGGGAAGTTCGGCAATGAAAATCTGTCAGTCATTGGAGAGGAAAGCTTCGCGCGACAGTTATCAGTTCCAGTCGTGGGTGCAGACGTCCCTCCAGCACAATGTGGGTACGCTCCACTGGTACGTCAAGCCCAATACCCGCATTGAGACGGAGTTCCGCGACGACCAGGGCAGCTCCACTAACCCCCAGACCATCATGGATCGCAAGGGTGTGCTGTGGCAGAAAAAATGTGCTTCCAATGCGCTTTCCTTGCAGCGCTTGTACCCTCTCCTGCGAGAAGCCCAACAACGAACTCGGGACAAGCCTTGGCCACCTTGCAGACGAACAGGTGACATTAGTTGTGAAGCAGGTCAATTCCAAGATAGCATCAGGTGTTGAACAGTTGAGTGGCACTCTTAAGTATTTACCCCAGCTGGTGTTTCGCATCTTACCAAGTTTTTGAATCAGCGTGAATCCCGTGGAGGATGGCCGCGGCAAATTCAGACCCCCATCGTGGCCTTCCTGGGAAAAGGATCAACCACAGATCGTTCTATTGGATTGATCCCAGATTTTATTAGACTTTGGAGCTCGACGAGACAGATTTACAGTTCCGAGTGGGTTGAGAAGATGGCGGGCACATCGGATAATGGAGTACGTGGCTCATCTTGTCTCAGAGTGGGTCTACTCAGGGCTTTCACCGACGAAGCTGTCAAGATGGGCCCGACTCACGCGGCGCCAGCCAGCCTGCTCTGGGGCACAGGTGGTTTTTACGACTCGCTCGAGTGCGAGAGACTCTTCGAGCAGGGTCTTGCCTTGCAGTTCCCGCCTCTTGCCCTCCTGATGGAGGGCCTCGCCCATCTCCATGTGCGTGTATTTCGTGAAGAAGGCTGTTTGTCTTTGCCTGTGCAGGCAGGCGAGAGAATCATTGCAGGAACCCGTCGAGGGCTTAATTTTGGAAGATTTTATTTATATAGTACTCTGGAAGCCGTACACAGCAAGTACTACCCTACGGTCATCACCAGATCTTGGGTAGGCGGTATCACGCAATGCGCACTCGGCTCCGTCAGGTTCCTCGCGCAGGCCCTCTCCAAGGCGGGTTCCCTACTGGGCAGGCTTTGCAGCACGGCGCGCCTCAGTGTGGCAAGTAAACGCAAAATTATCACAAGGGGGCAGAGGGCTAGCTGCCGAACTGGCACGTAGGCTCGCTAATCAAAACATCAACATCACTGTCGCTCAGAAGGCTGTGGATCTTGGGGTCGGTCGTGGAGCTAACATGCGAGCACGTCCTAAAGCAACAGCTATAATAATTATAGCATGGAAACAAGTCAGCAAAACAAGAAAGCTTAAAGGTGCAGGCAGAACGGGCAGGCAAGCAGCACGGCGTGTAATACACAGAGGTAGCATGGCCAAAGTTCAGTATGATGCGCACGTGTGCGGCATGGGCCCCCTCAGCTATTCAGTCTTGGCGGAGAGCTAGAGGAGGTACTTTTACAGCTGCAGTCAGAGGGCGCTGTTTGGACACCCTGCTCCAGCTGGAGATGAATGAGCAGGGCCCCGCCATCGGCCAAGTTTTTCGGATGCTCGACGGCAGGATGAACATGCGCGCAGCAAGCGTCGAGCAGAGTTTTGCGGCCATATATTGGGCGGGGCATGTTGCACGCGCGAGAGCTAACCCTCATCATCGATGGCGGAGCGTCGAGGGCCCCGCAAGGGCCGTAGTGAATACCTTGCCCGACATCAACTGGGATCCTGTGGGGCCTATGCATTGGGTATCCGATCTTGGGAATGTCTACCAGGCTGCCCCAGAGACCCTCGAAGCGGGACCCCTCGACCTAGAAGATATTCAAGAAGAGCTAGCTGATTCAGTTCGTCGTATGTTATGGAAACGTGCTGCTAAACATTACGAGAGTGGAAACATCGAACGCGATATCGACTTTTCGGACGTTAGACAACAACTTCGAGGAGCTAGAGGTCGAGAACACGATCGGTGGGCAGGAACCCTTGTCAACGTGTGCTGTGGCGGCCAATGGGCCAACCAGAGAATTAAAGATGTCATCGATCCGCCAGATTTTTCGGTGTTGTGCGACCGCTGCGGCGGAGGACATGTCGAGGCTAGTTTTCATAGGGTTTGGGAATGCACTGCGAACAACGACTTGCCCTCAGTCGCCAGCAGCAATTTGTGCGCGCACAGGGCAAGGGCCCAGGTCGAGGCGCAGCCAGCAGTGTGGCTTCGAGGTCTCACTCCTTCGGAGTGGACGCATGTTCCAAGACCCCCAGATGAAGCTGAGATTTTATACCACGCCTTCGGCGACTTCCCACAAGGGGTTGGGTTTATTGTCGGAGCTGGCGACGCCTCTGGAGGTAAGTACTCAGGAGACCCAAGATTCAGGCGTGTCTCTTGGGCGTATATGGTTTTCGAGGGTTTCGATATCTCCAATCCCGTTCCTCACCTCAGAACCGCTTGGGCGTCTTCTGGAGGCGCCTGGGGGGCCCAATCCATCAACCGCGGGGAGCTCATCGCGTTTCTGAAGTTCCTGTGGGAGGCCCCGTCGGGCCACTATGCCGCGGACTCCTCGTGCGTTGCGAGAAACGACGCCAACATCGAGCTCGACATATTTCCAGAACAACATCGGAGTGACTGGCGCCGTGTCCAGCCCCTGCTACGAGTCATGACGACCACTGCCTTGAAGATCGAGTCGCACATGTCTCCTCAGTAGGCCTCTGAAAAACACGTTTTGTTGTTTTCGTGGGTTGGTAATCATATCGCAGATAAGTTGGCGGAGGCTATGTCCAAGCAGATTCAACTTCCACCTGGGGTAGTTGAGGCCGTCCAGATCGCCGAGAATTTGACCCGAGCAGTGGGGGCGCGTGCTTGCGATATTTTCATTTCTATGGTTTCCGGGTCTTCGGGGCCCCCGGCCAGGCCCCGTGTCCGAGCAAAAGCTCAGGTCGAAAAGAAGTCGGGGCCCAGTTTCAGCCCGCGACCAAATCTTGCTAGGATGCTTCGAGAGAGCGCGCGCACCCTGATTCCAGCAGGCGAGACAGGGCTACCATGTCGTTTTGCATGCAGTGTGTGTTGCTCTGGCATTTCTACGAATTCCCACGGTAACAAGGCCTCCCAGGAGTTTTTAGCCACTCCCTGCGTGAGCGCCCAGCCTCGTGCGGGGATCGAGGGGGCCCGATCTCTAAGCAATGTATTCACAGGTGCTCGTTAGGTTGACCCATCACACGATATGGTCATATCGAGTAAGGGCACATACATATGCTTGACGTGTGGCGCGCATGCTATTAGATGCGCCCAGAACCTTTTCAGATAGTGCAAGCAAGCCGCACCAACGGGTGTGGCTTTCCTCGAAACATTGAAGCGCGGTGAGGCGTAGTTTGGCCCATCCGAGCCGCTTCTAGCATCGGCCCAGCCCAGGTTTCCCGCTCAGCGGGAGATTTGGGCCAGGTCGTCGCTGGATGCGGCTCAACCCTCTGTTTTTGAAACTAACCATCGGTTAACTTAGCGTCCTCCTCCTCCTCCTCCTCCTCCTCCTCCTCCTCCTCCTCCTCCTCCCCCTCGGCGAGAACCTTCGGGGAGCATCCTTGATTATTCGGCGGAAAAAACACGCACGATGCCAAAACAAAAACAGTGGACATGGACGTCCGAGCGATGGCCAGGGATGGACAAGGTTCGCTGTTCGGCATCGTGCCCCTTCTTCCGTACCCGCGTCGGGCGTCCACGCATCGACGATCCGCAGGATGTGTCTTAACCAGTTTTTTTTGTTTTGTTTTTTTTGTTGTTTTTTCTTTGTGTGTGTCTGTCTGTCCGTCCGTCCGTCTGTCTGTCTGTCTGTCTGTTTGTCTGTCTGTCTGTCTGTCAGTCAGTCAGTCAGTCTGTCTGTCTGTCTGTGTGTGTATGTGTGCGTTTACCCCGCTCAGCGCGCCGACCGCACGCAGCCTGCCTCGGCCCTCCTCGCACCGCCTGCGTCGTATCCAAGGGCTGCTGTGGACAAGGCCACGTCGGCGCTGCACTCGTTCCGAAGGCCATCGAAAACAGGATCGGCGGTGAGCCCAGGGGGGAAGGACGAGAAGGAGGAGGAGGAGGAGAAGGAGGAGGAGGAGGAGGAGGCGGAGGAGGAGGAGGAAGAGGAGGGAGGAGGAGGAGGAGGACGGCGGCGGGCCTTCTCAGAAGGCTCGGAATCCCCCAGCCTTCCGAGAAGCTTTCCAAGCCTTCCCCGACGACATAGGAATCTGACCAAACGGCCGGAGGGCTTCTTAGAAACCGCGCCGCCTTCGGAGATGGCCTGCTCCTTCTCAGCTCCCCCCTGGGGGCGCCGCCGACAGGAGGAGGAGGCGAGGCGCTGGGAGGCAGCGGTCGCAGAGGCCAAGCGCGCCCTGCACGACCAGCAGGCGGAGGCCGCCAGAGCCGGGCGGGAGCTGACGGCGGCCAAGGCTCGGCTGCGCGCAAGAGCGGCCCTTTGCCGGAGCGACCTCTGGTGCGGGCCTGCAGCCCCTAATGTTTAGCCGATCCCTGCCCCCATCCCCATCCCGATCCCCACCATCTCACCACCCCAGCTGGGGACATGCCCCTCGAAACCCGAACACAGAGCCTGGAACCTGCCCGCCCTTCCTGCTGGCCAGAACCAGTGCTGGGCCACCTCAGATGCCCAGACGGCTCAAGGTGCCCCCATCCCCATCCCCATCCCCATCCCCATCCCCATCCCCATCCCCACCATCCCAACACCCCAGTTGGGGATCTGCCCCTCGAAACCCGAAGGGAACAGCCTACATCCTTACCCAGGGGGGTGACTCGGCCAGTAGGGCCCAGGCCACGCCACTGGGGATGGGTATCGCTTCAGCGATGCTCATGCAGGGGTCCCTGTAGTACCGCCCGGCGCGCTCGGATCTGCCCCCCCCCCCCCCCCCCCGCGGCCTTCCAAAGCAGAAGAGGAAGGATACCCAGACTTCGGTAGCAACTCGTGGGAGCCTTGTGCACCCTCGTAACTCAGGAGGGGAAAAAACACACAGACACAATTAATCGTCGACCCCCAGGAAAATATAGGAAAATATGGGCAGTGGGGGGGAGGACGAAAACCCTGAATATAAGAAAATATGGGGAGTTTTGTTATTTGTGTGTATTTATTTGTGTGTCCCAGGGCCCCTTCAGTAACTCCGTCCTCAGGGTGCGTTAGCTTCGATTAGCGTCTTGTCATCGGTGGGGTAGCGCCGAGTCGGCGTCGACCGGCGTCGATCCGCAAGAGCCTTCACGAAGGCATGGAAGGCTCCTATGAGCTGCCGCAGAGGACCTGCCCCTCCCGCGGCCTCGGCGAGCTGCCGTGCTCCACAAGAGGGGCGGCGCGGCGGCGCGCATCCAGGGGTCGGGGCGGGGAAGGGCGGCCGTGTAGGGCGTCTCCGGACGCGACGACTCCCCCTCCTCCTCCTCCTCCTCCGCCTCCTCCTCCTCCTCCTCCTCCTCCTCCTCCTCCTCCTCCTCCTCCTCCTCCTCCTCCTCCTCCTCCCCCTCAAGGGATTCGCCCCGCAGTCCTGGCCAGGGCGCGCCTCACAGAATCCTTCTGCGGTCTCGCCACCAAGGTCGCGCCCGCCCCGGAGGCCACCCTTGCCCGGGGCCGCCCCTGCTCAGGGGCAACGACAGGGGTGGAGAGGCACAGGGGGGATGCATCGTCCCCCAAGCGCCCATTGATCGCTGATAGGGGCCCGATAGCCCCAACCTGCCCAGGACGGTGCGGATTCACTACTGAGGGCCTATCGCCGATCTATCGGCGATGTATCGCCGATTCCAGGTCGATGCATCCCCCCCTATGCTTCTGTCGTGCCTGTCCCCTTACAGGGGGATTTTCGACGAAACAAATATTCCCAAAACAATAAACAATAGTCCAAAAATAGTCTGGGGTCTATTTTTCCTCGAAAATCCCCCTGTAGGGGGACACGCCCGACAGAACCCTGTGCCAGTCCCCTCCCTGTCGTCCCCCCCCCCCACCCGTGCGCAGCCGAGCAAAAAACAGAGGCCGGCCTGGAGCTGCTCCGGCGCGGGGGCGCCGAGCACGCAGGCTCCGCCGAGGGGGACGAGGCTCCAGCGTGGGCGAAGCACAGCTCCGTATTCGCGGCCTCGCGGGTCGAGCCCCTCGGCCGCGACTCCGCGCATATCGGGGGCGGCAAAGAGGGGGGTGATGACTAGGGGGGGGGGGGGGATATCATGGCGGGGGCCATGATATTTTCCCAGATTTCATGGCGCCTCTTCTTATTTCATTGCGTCCCTGGCCCTCCCGCTGGGCCGCGCACATGCCGACGGTCATGATTTGCACCCCCCCCCTCTTGGGCACCCCCCTCTTGGCCGCGACCCCGCGGATAGTTGGGTGATTTTTCCGCGGATGCCCCTCGCGGAGCGTACCCGCGCGACCGCGCATGCGCGGGATCGGACTCAGAAGCCAGGCCGCGAGGGCGCGGAGGCGGACACGTTTGCCGCTCGTGGTTCCAGGCTTCCCAGAGGAGGTCCGCGAAGGTGGGGTCGGGGGGATCGCGCGCCGACGTCGCCGTTGTTCGATCGGAAACCAGCGGCACAGACGTATGAGCCCTCGGAGGTCCTCGCGCGGGTCTCGAAGGATTGCAAGAAAACGAAGGATTGCAAAAAAACGAAGGTTTTTTTGCAATCCTTCGTTTTTTTGCAATCCTTCGTTCAAGGGTTGGCGCCGCGCCCTCCTGCGGAGGCCCAAGACCTCTGCGCGGAGCTCCCAAAGTTTGCGCTCGTGGGCGGCACGGGCCTGGTGGGTCGACCCCTGCCAGATCGAGGGCCCCCTCGTGTCCCCGTGTCCTGCGGCCCGTGCCTCCTGCGTCTCTGCGGCAGCGGGGCCCTCGGGGAGGTCATCGTGCCCTCGCGCGTGCCCTCTCCGACCCAGTCCGACCGTGTGCGGCTGCTCCCTGCTCTCAGACGCACCGCCTCGCCGCGTCGGCGACGCGTCGGCGGTGCGGCGCGATCCTCCGGCCTCGGCTGCTCGGGCCTCGTCTCGGGGAGGCCCCTCGGCCGGGGGTGGACAGAACCCCCAGCAGCGGCACGCCGATTGGTGCACGGTCCGCTTTCGGCTCTCGAGAGGGCGCCGTGGCCGCTGCTTTCCAGGCCTGCGCCCGCCAGGTTTGGGCCTCGGGTCGTTTTCGCTGAGCCACGTTTTACAGTCGGGGCGCTGAAGAAGGAACCCTTTTCGTTGGGGAGGGGCTCGGTGCCCCTTGATGGTTTCACAGCTTGCCTCAGGTTTTCCTTACGTTTCCGGTGGGAAATCGAAGTTTAACTTATGGGAGAAAGTCGGGGGCGGAAAAGAGGGGGGTGATGACTAGGAGGGGGTTGGATATCATGGCGTGGGCCATGATATTTCCCCAGATTTCATGGCGGCTCTTCTGATTTCATTGCGTCCCTGGCCCCCCCGCTGGGCCGCGCACATGCCGCCGGGCATGATCTGCACCCCCCCCTCTTGGACACCCCCCTCTTGGCCGCTCCCCAGAAAGGGCCCTCGCTCCTCATCTAGGGCTCCTTAGGTCAACGCCCCGACTCACGACCAGGGGGAGGAGGAGGAGGAGGAGGAGGAGGAGGAGGAGGAGGAGGAGGAGGAGGAGGAGGCGGAGGAGGAGGGTCCCTTAGGTCAACGCCCCGACTCTAGACCACGTCTTACGAAAGGGAGGTCTGCCCAATTCACGCCTCAAGGGCCGCCCGGGCAGGTGCGGGCGAGCCTCGAGCGCGCGGAGCGGCACGTGCAGGGCGCCGGGTGCGCGCTCGCCGAGGCCGCCCGGGGGCAGCGCCAGGGGCCTGGGGGAGCGTCTTCGAGCCTGTCTGGGCTCGGGGTGGAGGAGGAGGAGGGAGGAGGAGGAGGAGGAGGAGGAGGAGGAGGAGGAGGAGGAGGAGGAGGAGGAGGAGGAGGAGGAGGAGGAGGAGGAGGAGGAGGAGGAGGAGGAGGAGGAGGAGGCAGGAGCAGCAGGAGGAGGCAGGAGGGGCCGGGGGGAGCGTCTTCGAGCCTGTCTGGGCTCGGGGTGCTCGAGGCTCGTGTCATGTCGGGCGTGTCCAGAGCCCCGAATCATCAGGGGTAACTCGGGTCAGGGATAACTCGGGCGTCCTAAGCTACTCAGGGCACTTGCAACCCGCTTATAAGCCAGGTTGGGCCAGATATAACCCACCTTGGCATCCACTTGTAACCCCGCTATCCACTTAGGACCCCCCACGGTCATCCCAGCAGGGGCCGGGGGAGCGTCTTCGAGCCTATCTGGGCTCGGGGTGCTCGAGGCTCGTGTCATGTCGGGCGTGTCCCCCTACGGTAGGTTTGCGTCGTGTCGACCAGCGGCGACCCCAGCGCGGGCGTTCAAGGTTGAACGCCGCCGGCGACCCAGAATCGATCGATGTTGAACGATCGGACGTTGCGGCAGCGGCCGATCGTTCAAGGTTGAACGATCCCTGCGGTGTCAAAAACCAACGCTCGGGTCGGCACGACACGAACCTGCCGTATCTGGGCTCGGGGTGCTCGAGGCTCGTGTCATGTCGGGCGTGTCCCCCTAGAGGGGGACTTGCGACGAAGAAGGAGGAATACCCCCAACAGTACCCCCAAAAGGTCAAACCAATACTACTTTTTTTATTTTTATTTTTCGTCGTAAATCCCCCTGTAGCGGGTCAGGCCCGACTTGACGCCAGGGGTAGCGCCAGGGGTCCGGGCATCGTCTTTGAGCGCGTTTGGGCTCGGGGTGCTCCGAGGCTTGTGGTCTTAAGCTCTCGGGCGGGGCAACGTCAGGGGTCTTGGGCATCGTCTTGGAGCGTGTTTGGGCTCGGGGTGCTCGAGGCCTGTGGTCTCATGCTCCTGGGCGGCTTCGCTGGCTCGGGTCGGGCGAAAGGGGGGGTTTGGGAAAGGGGGGGCTACGAAGTCTGCTGCGTGCAGCTGGTTTCGGCCCCGCCGCCGGGCCCATTCCTCCACACGTGGGCGCCTCCCGGCGCCGGGAGGCGCCGGGAAAAGCAGCCACGTGAGCCGATTCTCTCGACCGGCCGACCCGACAGGCTCTCCTCGGCGTTGCAGCCCCGCGGCGCTCCTTCCGCGGCCGCGCCTCGTCCCCAGACCCCCGACGTCATGATTTTTTCATTACGTCGACCCCAGAGATCTCGACCCGTTCCCCGGGACCGCCGGTTTTTCATCCTGAGTCGTTTTTTGACGCTCCCGAGGCCCGGTGAGGGCCCCCAGAGGCCGAAAATAATGAAAAACCTCCCGTCGTGATTTTTTCATAACTCGAGGGGGTCTGGGTCGTGAGAGCGCTCTCCGAGGGGGTGCCCCCGCGTCGCTCCGATAGAGCGGCCCGCCGGAGGCCCGGGGATGGCGACCCGAAGAGCAGCGGGGGAGTGGGCTTCCGGAGGGGCGCGCGTCGACCCGCAGTCGCCCCCGGGAGCGCCGGCGGTGGCCGAGGGTACACCCGCCCCGGGGGCGTACGGATCCGCTATCGGTGGCCGATCGCAGATCCATTGCCGACATCTCTATATATATACACATATCTATACTTATCATTTATATTATATATACACACACCTATATATACATATATTTGTATATATATATATATAGATTTACTTATCTGTGCACATATATGTATACATACACCCCTAGACGACCGCCCTGCGGGCGATGAGGAGGCTGTGGGGGGATTGAGATCAAATGCCCACCCTGACGGACCTCCAGCCTGTCGCCTTGATCTCATCTCTCTCTTCCTCTCTGTCTCTCTCTCTCTCACTCTCTGTGCCTTTCTCTCTCTCTCGCCCTCTCTCTCTCTCTCCCTCTCTATCAGAGTCCCTCCACCACAATGATGATCGCGTTGACGATGAGATCCCACTATCTACCCATCCGTCGACCGATCTACCGGTGAATCTCACTGTCGCTCTCACTATCGACCTCAAAAGCAAAATGATAATGCCCGCCGCAGGCGCCGAAAAACGATTTGTTGTCGGACAACCACAGGACAATCATCGGCACAACTGGACACCATCGACAACCACAGGACAACCATCGGACAACCACAGGACACCCGGGACACCGCCTGGCCCAACTAGGACACCTCCCGGCCACCGGCGGACGGGAAACGGACTTTCGCTCCTACTACACCCGGGACACCCGGGACACCGCCCTGCCCAACTGAGACACCTCCCCGCCACTGGCGGACGGAAAACGGACTTTCGCTCCTATTTCGGCCTAGCTACAGGAGGATCATGCGCAGCTTCGCCTCGCCCGCACGCACGACACGAACACGAAACCGAAACCGATTTCCCGGTGGGGGGTCTCCGTTTCATTGCGATCTCACCCCCAACTTTCGATACATATATGTGTATATACACATATATATACACACATATACATATATACATACATATATATATACATATATATATATATATATTCTCCCCAAACAGTGCTTGCACTTGAGGTTTCTGAGCCCTGCTCCTAGAGCTGGGCCGCGTGGCAAGTCTGGCGGTGTATATATATATACACATATATAAAATTATATAAATATAGACTCTCCCCACAAAGTGCTTGCACTTGGTGTTTCTGACTCCTGCTCCTAGGAACTGGGCCGCGTGGCCATTCTGGCGGCTGTGCTGTCGCCGTCGCCGCCTCGTCGACGCTCATCGTCTGAGCCGTGCGGCGGGTCTGGCGGCTATGGTGTGCCGTCGTTGCACCGTCGCCGCCTCGTCGCGGCCGCTTGATTGCACCACGTAGGTGGCACGGAACAGTTTCGCGCCTGCGGTGCGCTTTCAGATCGCTCACAACACATTTGGATTGCATCACGTATTCGCCAAATAGTGTCTGCACTTACGCAGGGGTTCTTCTTTCTTTTCTCCGGAACTGGGCCGTGTGGGCGGTCTGGCGGCTACGTTCCTGGTTCTCGCCGTCGCCGCCCTGTCGCCGCCTCGTCGCCGCCCGTGGTTTGGGCCGTGTGGGCGGTCTGGCGGCTATGTTCCCGCCGTGGCCGGTCTGTCGCCGCCTCGTCGCCGCTGGTCGCCGCCGTTAGATTGGACCACAACGAGCGCACGAGCAAAATGTTGCGCATGCGGCGCGCTTGTATCACATATTGTACCACAAATAGTGTACAACATAGGTTGTGATACATGGGCTGCACCACAACAATTTCACCACATGCGCTGCTTCACAACAATTGTGCAGCATAGATTGGACACCATAAATTGCGCCACATTTACTGCACCTCATCGAGTGCACCACATATGTTGCATCACATCTATTGCTGCACATCTGTTGCACAGCACAGGTTGTAACACATTTATTGCAGCACATATATTCTACCACATAGATTGCACATCATATTTTGCACAGCGCAGGTTGCACAACATGTATTTCATACAACATAGCACAGCACACATTTTACACTATATATATATGATCATGCATATCTGTGTGTATATTGTACACGGTATATGGCACAACGGAATTCTCTCGACACATCCTGCACACCATACGTTACAATACATATGTTCCACAACGTAGATTGGTAGACACACGCTGTGTGGGGCCCAAAGTGGGTAACATATCTTTGTACAATGTTTATATGTATCCACATAGGTATTTATGTATGTGTTGGTCGGTAGGTTGGTAGGTCGCCATGCATGTATGTATGCCTGTCTGTCTGCCTGTCTGCCTGTCTGTCAATATGTATGCATGCATGCATGCACGTATGTATGTACGTATGTATCTATGTTCGTATGTATGCATGCATGCATGCATGTATGCATGTATGCATGTATGCACGTACGTACGTATGTATGTATGCATGTATGTATGTATGCAGTCATGTATGTATGTATGCGATGTAATGTCATGTAACGTAATGTAGTGTAATGTATTATGATGTAACGTAATGTAATGTATTGTATTGCAATGTACTGTAATGTATTGTAAGGTACTGGTAATGTAGTGTAATGTAATGTATCGTATTGTAGTGTATGTTTGTACATATGCATGCATGCACGTATACATGTATGGAATGACTGAAATTAATGTATCAATGCATGCATGCATGCATGCGTTCATGCATGTATGCATGTATGTATGTATGTATGCATGCATGTATGTATGCATGTATTCATGTATGTATGCATGCATGCATGCATGTATGTGTGCGTGTTTATGTACGCATGTATGTATGTATGCATGTACGTACGCACGTATACACGTTTGCATGCATGCACGTATGTATGCAGGTATGTATGTATGCATGCACGTATGCATGTTTGCATGCATGCATACATACATGTAGGTATGTATTACTGCATGTGTGTATGTATGTATGTATGTATGTATGTATGTATGTATGTATGTATGTATGCATGTAGGTAGGTAGGTAGGTAGGTAGGTAGGTAGGTAGGTATGCATGCATGCATGTCTGTCTGTCTGTCTGTCTGTCTGTCTGTCTGTCTGTCTGTCTGTCTGTCTGTATGCCTGTATGTCTGTATGTCTGTATGTCTGTATGTCTGTATGCCTGTCTGTCTGTCTGTCTGTATGTATGCATGCATGCATGTATGTACGCATGTATGCATGTATGCATGTATGCATGTATGCATGTGTATATATACCTATCGCCGATTTTAGCTCGATGCTATCCCCCCTGAGCTGGTGCGCCTTGGAGGTGGCCGTGGGATCTGAACTGGTTGGGACCCCAGAGAATCGGTCAGGTGGGTGGGACGAGGTCAATTCCGCTAAACATCGGTCCCCAGACTCGGTATCGGTTAACCGATCCTCATCCCCATCCCCATCCCCTTCGAGACCCACCAAATTACCACCCCAGTTGGGGATACACCCCTCGAAAACCGAAGGGAACGGCCTGTATCCCCATCTAGGGGGGTAAATCGGCCAGTGGGGCCCAGGCCACGCCGCTGGGGATGGGGATCGGTTAAACGATACTCACAGACATCCCCCAGGGTCCATCTGGCGCAGTTTTTGATCTCGGGCCATTTTTCGACAGTCCCGGGGCGCGAATACGGCTCCCAGAGGCCGAGAAAGGCGAACGGCTTTCCCGAACCCAGCCAGGGCCTCGAACCTGCCGCCCTTCCTACCAGCCGGAACCAGTGCTGGGCCACCTCAGACCCCCAGACGGTTCCTTACGCGTTCGATCATGGGCCCGCCAGCACCCAGCTTTCACGCCGAAGACCGCCGAAGACCGCCAAAGACCGCCGAGGACCGCGGGAAGACCGCCGAGGACAGCGGGAAGACCGCCGAAGACCGCTCGAGGCAGATGGGTAACAGGAGGTCCAAGGTCGAATGCGAAAGGCTCCAAGGTGCCCTTCCCCGCCCTTTCATTGCCTCTCAGGCCGTGCGCTGCCTCGCCGCGGGGCCTCAGGCGCGCGGGGCGCTGCGCACCAGCAGCCAGCGCCTGCTGCTGCAGCTGGCGGACGCCAGCTTGGCGGCGCAGGCCTCGACGCAGGGAACCACTGCGCTCTTACATATATATATATATATATAGACATAGATGTACACATGTATTGTAGTGGCCTTCGGCCAGTGCCGCCGATCCGGGGCGCTCCGACTGATGTGATCCTTCTTCGCCCTCGTCCCTCCTCTCTTTTTCCCTCCCCTCCTCTCACTCAGCATTTATCCAGTCGCCGTCGGCCTATCCCGCCACCGTGCGTGGGTGGTGGGTCAGAGGCCTCATGGATGCTGGTTGGGATCTCGTGGTTGGCTGGGACTTCTGGGGGCCTCTTGGGCGCCTCTTGGGGCTTCTTGGGGGCCTCTTGGGCCTCTTGGGGCCACTAGAGGGCCTCTTGGGGGTCTCTTGGGAGCCTCTTGGGGCTTCTTGGGGGCCTCTTCTGCGCCCCTTGGGGCCTCTTGGAGGCCTCCTCGGAGCCTCTTGGTGCGGGAGGGGTGGTACTCGAGTTCGGAACCCCCTCGGAGGCCACGATCCTTGTGAGGGGTGTCAAAAAACGCATCCGCCGGAAACTCGCACCCCCCCCCCCCACCCCCCCTTCCCCGGCAGAGCCACCCCGGCAACCCCCCCAGAGGCTGAGGCTCAGCCTCGAGGCTGTAGCTGAGACTCCTTGAAACTCACACGCCGGATCGGCGGATTTATGTATGTATGTATGTATGTATGTATGTATGTATTTGTGTATGTATGTATGTATGTATGTATGTATGCATGCATGCATGCATGCATGCATGCATGCATGCATGCATGTATGTATGTATGTATGTATGTCTGTATGTAGATATGTATATATGTATGTATGTATGTATGTATGTATGTAGGTATGTTTGTTTGTTTGCCTGTATGCATGTATGTATGTATGCATGCATGTATCTATCTATGTATGTATGTATGCATGTGTGCATGTATGCATGTATGTATGTATGCATGTATGCATGTATGCATGTATGCATGTATGCATGTATGCATGTATGCATGTATGCACGCATGCATGCATGCATGTATGTATGTATGTATGTATGTATGTATGTATGTATGTATGTATGTCTGCATGTATGTATGTATGTATGTATGCATGCATGCATGCATGCATGCATGTATTTATGTATGTATGTATATCTGTATGCATGTCGGTATGTACGCATGCATGTATGTATGTATGTATGTATGTTAGTATGTATGTATGTATGTATGTATGTATGCAGGCATGTATGTATGTATGTATGCATGTATGCATGTATGCATGTGTGTATGTATGCATGCATGTGTGTATGTATGCGTGCATGCATGTATGTATGTACGTATGTATATATGTATGCATGTATTCGTTGTTATACATTTATTTATCTATTATATATATGCGACTTGGAACCGAGACGCGGTCGGGGCAGCCGCGGGGCGCTGCGGGGCCAGGCTGGGCACGACGGGGGAGGGAGAGGCGCGAAGAGGGGAGCGGCAGCGTCGCGGGCGGCGGAGCACTCTCAGAGCACGAAGTTTCCCTCCCCCTCCTCCTGCCTCCTTCTCCTCTTCCTCCTCCTCCTCCCTCCTGCCTCCTCCTCCTCCTCCTCCTCCTCCCTCCTCCTCCTCCTGCTCCTCCTCCTCCTCCCTCCTGCCTCCTCCTCCTCCTCGCTCCTCCTCCTCCTCCTCCTCCTCCTCCTCCTTCTCCTCCTCCTCCTCCCTCCTCCTCCCTCCTCCTCTTCTTCCTCCTCCTCCTCCTCCTCTTCGCATAGTGAAGATGCGCAACGCAGCTCAGCAGGCACGTATAGCCAAGGGCCTCTGGGCCACAGGCGCCTTGCCTCAGGGAGTCTATGGCCATCAAGTTCGAGGATTGGCTCGGCATGCACTGTTGAGATGGAGGAGGCAGGCAGCAGCAGCCGCCACGGGGCAAGCTGCGGGGCGCTGCTTAACCACGCTACTTGGCTCCACGTTCGACGGAGTGGATCCTGGAGCCCAGCTTCGGGTGCAGTCTTTGCGACAGTGGATCAGATTTTGGCAAGACCAGCCTCACCTCCATCAGCGCATTCGACGGACGTGGGCCCTGCTGAAGACGAGGTTGACCATTGCAGGCCCGAAGATCTGGTCGTATGTCACGGGCCCGACTGGGGCCGCTATTGCTACACTCTTGGAAGCTGGCCGAGATCCCGAAGCGGCTGACTGCTGGCAACGAGTTCACGACGAATATTTGGAGCAATGGACACTCCCAGATGACGGAGCAGAGTTGGTTTACCTCGACTACGAGTCCGTCCTAGACGATCTCGCGGAGGACCTCCAGGGCAGGCTCTGGGCGACGGCGGCGGCGCACGAGCACGGCGCCTCCCTCGCCTGCGGGGCCGACCTGACCATGATCAGGATTGAGCAGCGGAGGTTCCTCGCTTCGGGAAAAATATCGTCTTGGGCATTGAACAATTGCGTGGTCTCTGGGGGCCAGTGGACCCGTGAGCGCCTCCATCAGTCAGGGTATCAAGTCAATCGTTTGTGTGATCGTTGCAGCTCTGGGGCCATCGAGGATCTTCCCCATCGCATTTGGAAGTGCTCGGCGAATGAGGGCCCCGAGGTCACAGCTAGTGATCATTTGGCCCCCCAGGCCCTGGCGGGCTTGGAGCAGGACCCCGCCCTTTGGCTTAGAGGTGTGCCCAGTCTCTCCTCCACTACTCCCTCCTTTGCCTCGTGGGACGGGGGTGGGGTGGAGGTGGTGGGTCCTGATTATGAAGGTAAGCCCCGCTGGGAAGCCTGCAGAGACCCCCATGGGCGCCTCACGCTTTTCGGGGACGGCTCTGGGGGAGCCTTTTCAGATGATCCTCGGAGGCGCCGATGTGGATGGTCGGTCGCGGCTCTCGTCCCAGACGGGGCTGGTCGTTGGCGAGGCCACGCTGGCATCTTCGGCCCGCTTGAAGGCCGACGGCAAACTGTTCCGCGAGCTGAATTATTGGCGTTTTGTGTTGCGGTTGAAGAGAGCTCGGGGCCTGTGGCGTTTGTGACCGACCGCAAACCCCTCCTCAATGGGTGGGGCCAGGGTTGGACTCGGAGGCCCCTTGGAGCTTGGTCTCGGCGTCTCAAGAACTGGGATCTTTGGGCCAGGCTGCGCAGGGCGTTGGAGCAACAACCTGGACGCGATGTGGCCTTGGTGTGGACCCCGTCCCATCAGGATGAGACGCCAGAGGCTATCACCAACCCTTTTTTATGCATGTGGCAATATTGTCGCAGATGCATGGGCAGGCCAAGGAGCTGCCAAGAATTGGACGGCAGCGCGAGAGCCTCTCCCCTGCACTGATCAGTGGGATGCAACGGCGGCCTTGGTGCGTGCCCGAGCAAGGGCCATCATCAAGAGTATTGGCCCTGAGAAGGTCTTGCGTGGGGTGAGAGTTGGCGTCACTCGTCAGGCCCCGCTGTCCACTCGTGCCCTCTGCCTGAGAGCCTCCACTCACACGTTCGAGCGTTGTGCTGCTAAGTGGCGCTGTGCCAAGTGCGAGCTTCTCGTTGATGACTGCCGTCTCGACGAGTCGGCACTCACGCAGTGTCCTGACCCGCCCCCCACTCAGGGGTCGCCGTCCGTGGAGGCCCCACGTCGGTTCGGGGAGGCGGTGGTGGTGGAGGCTCGGGGGAGGACTCTCAGAGGCCAAGAGGCCCACCCGTCACATCAGCTTCTCGAGATCCCGCGTTGGCGGGTCTTGTTCTGCTCGCATTGCGGGGCCAATGCTACGTTTCGCTTTGTCAATCTGTTGCAGGAGTGTGGCGAGCCGAGTCCCAAGGGGAAGGAGGTCCTTGCTCGGATCGCCAAGGGCCTGCATCCTTCCCACAGGGGCCCCTCTGGGGCCATCGCTGAGGCGGCGCACAGAGACGCCGCCCAAGAGGCTCGAGCTCGTGCACTTGTAAGGGGCAGTGGTTTGTCCCAGGCCCCTGGACCCCCACCCGAGGGAGATGGAGGGGCCTCGGGGTTTGTCTCGGCGGTGGACGCCTTGGAGGAGTCTGGGATCCAGGTGGTGAGAGGGGAGGATTTGGTCGGCGTTTTTGAGGCTGGGGCGGCCGCCTGCGATGGTGCGCCGAGCGCCTCGACGGCCTCCTCATCAAGGCCCGCGCCGCCGCCCTCCCCCTCCACCTCCTCCTCCGACTAGGCGTCTGCCTCCCTCCGCGCGACCCCTCGGTCGCTTTGCATTTAGCCCATTTAGTCCTCCTCCTCCTCTTCCTCCTCCTCCTCCCTCCTCCTCCCTCCTCCCTCCTCCCTCCTCCCTCCTCCCTCCTCCCTCCTCCTCCCTCCTCCTCCTCTCTCCTCTCTCCTCCCTCCTCCTCCCTCCTCCTCCTCCTCCTCCTCCTCCTCCTCCTCCTCCTCCTCCCTTTCCTCGCACAGGCTTACGCGGGCAACCGGCAGGAGTACCCGTCGGTCGTTGACAGCAGGCATTTTTTTGGGATTCCCAGATTCCAGCTTCCTCTCAGCGCCGCTCCTACTTCCACGATCGAGGGGCTTCCCCTCCTCCGTCCTCGGTGGGGGGCGGGCGGACACCCAATCTACTTTCCACGCCTTCCTGCTTCATTTTTCTGCCCACTCCTTCCGAACGATGGGTGCCGAGGCGGCCAGCGGACAGCTGCGCAGACGCGTAGCTTCGGCGCTCCGTGCGGATGTCTCGAGGCGGCGGCGGCCCTCCCCGCCGGCGCCTTCTCCGCTTTTTGTGGGGGGGCCTCCCGGGGAGGCCTCTCGTCGCCACGGCGGCTGGACCCGGGCCCCCTCGGGAGGGGCCCAGGGGCTGATTCTGAGCGAATCTTGATGGGCGTGTTTTCCACCGCCACCATCAGTTGGAGGGGGGAAGGAGGGGGATATGAGGAGGAGGACGAAGGAGGAGGAGGACGAGGAGGACCCCCTCCCCTCCCCCCCTGCTTCTGGTGGTGGGGGCGCTGGAGAGCAAGCCCGCCAGATCTGGACAGTGGACCTGCGACAGTTTTTTCTGTGCTCCCCGGTGGCCTAGAGGTTGGCACCAACACCAGTGTCGGCGCTTGCCTCCACCGAGGGAACCTCGACGATGGTTGTGAGACTCGGGCTTCCCAGGTGGCCAAGAGATGGCTCCCAGCACCGACACCCAGGATCACCCCCCTGTGGAGGCAGCCGCCCGTGTGGGTGTTGATGCCCGCTTCCAGGCACCGCAGTTTGTGCTCACGGCAGGTTCGTGTCGCACCGACCCGGCGACGACCCCAGCGCGGTCGTTCAAGGCTGAATGCCGCCAGTGGCCCAGGATCGGGCAATACCAAGCGATTTGGCAAGCGAGAAGCCGCCGATCGTTAAAGGTTGACCGAGCCACGTAATGTCGGAAACCAGCCCCGAGGCCGTCACGACAAGAGCCTGCCGTATGCGTCTGTTTCATCGTCGTCGTTTGTGCCAGCCATCTTCTGGTGTTGGGTCCTCCTCTCCTCTCCTCTCCTCTCCTCTCCTCTCCTCTCCTCTCCTCTCCTCTCCTCTCCTCTCCTCTCCTCTCCTCTCCTCTCCTCTCCTCTGCTGCCCCCCCCTCCTCCCTTCCCAACCCTGCCTCTGCTCTCCACATGTGAAGAATTTCGGCGCACCACTCGCACATTTCGTGACCCCATAGGGGGCTCCAACGAAGCCTCTCCAGGAAATGGGTTTTGCATGTGGTTGTCCACATCCTTCACACGCCTCGTGGCCCCACAGGGAGCTTCATCGAAGCCTCCAGGAGAGATCTTGCATGTGGGTTCCCACGCCCCCCCCACCCCCCCCCACACATTTCCCTTGCCCCCTGGGGGGCTCCATCGAAGCCCCGCGGGAGGGAGTTGTGCATGCAGTTGTCCACACCTTTCTCATCGTGGCCCCATAGGGAGCTCCACCGAAGCCCCCAGGAGGGGGTCCTCCACACCCCTCACACGTTTCGTGGCCCCACAGGGATCTCAATCGAACCCCGCGGGAAGGGGTTGTGCATACAGTTGTCCACACCCCTGGCGCGCTTCGTGGCCCCATAGGGAGTTCCGACGAAGCCCCCAGGAGAGGGTCCCCCACACCACTCACACGTTTCGCGGCCCCACAGCGAGCCCAATCGAACCCTGTGGGGAGGCGGTTGTCCACGCCCCTCTCACGCTTCGTGGCCCCATAGGGAGCTCAATCGAACCCCGCGGGAAGGGGTTGTGCATGCAGTTGTCCACACCCCTGGCGTGTTTCGCGGTCCCATAGGGAGCTCCACCGAAGCCCCCAGGAGAGGGTCCTCCACACATTTCACACGTTTCGTGGCCCCAGATCGAGTTCAATCGAACCCCGCCGCATGGGGTTATGCATGCAGTTGTCCACATCCTTGGCGCGCTTCGTGGCCCCATAGGGAGCTCCAACGAAGCCCCCAGGAGGGGGTTCTTCACACCCCTCACACAGTTCGTGGCTCCACAGCGAGCTCAATGGAACCCCGCGGGAGGGGGCTTTGCATGTGATTAACACTTCCCCTCACAAGTTTTGTGGCTGCCTCACAGAGCTCCACCGAAGCCCCGAGGAGGAGGTCCTCCACACCCCTCACACGTTTCGTGGCCCCACAGGGAGCTTCACCGAAGCCCCCAGGATGGGTCCTCCACACCCCTCACACGTTTCGTGGCCCCACAAGGAGGTCCATCTTCGGCACACCGCTCACACGTTTCGTGGCCCCGCAGGGGGCACACCACCGAAGCCCCCATGAGGGGATCCTCCACGCCCCCGCACACGTTTCGTGGCCCCACAAGGAGGTCCATCGGACCCCGCATGAGGTGGTTGTGCATGTGGTTGTCCACGTCCCTCACACGTTTCGTGGCCCAATAGGGAGCTCCACGCTCCTCGCACATTTCGTGACTCTGCGGGGAGCTCAATCCAACCCCGCCGGGTGGGGTAGTGCATGCAATTGTCCACGTCCACACCCCTGGCGCGTTTCGTGTCCCCATAGGGAGCTCCACCGAAGCCTCCGGGAGAGGGTACCCCACACCCCTCACACGTTTCGTGGCTCCACAGGGAGCTCAATCGAGACCCGCCGGAGGGGGCTGTGCATGTGGTTATCAGCACCCCTCACAAGTTTTGTGGCCCCATAGGGAGCTCCACCGGAGCCCCCAGGATGGGTCCTCCAGACCCCTCACACGTTTCGTGGCCCCACAGGGAGCTTAATCGAGTACCGCGGGAGGGTGTTGAGCATGTGGTTCTCCACACCCCTGGCGCGTTTCGTGGCCTCTCACAGGGAGCCCCGCCGAAGCTCCCAGGAGGGGGTTTTGCATGTGATTGTTTACACCTTTCGCACGTTTCGTGGCTCCAAAGGGATCTCAACCGAAGCCCCCAGGAGGGGGCTTTGCATGTGGTTCTCCACTCCCCTCTCAGACTCTCATTCTTCGTGGCCCCGCACGGAGCTCCACCAGAGTCCAAAGGAGGGGGGGTCTCATGCGGTTCTCCACTGTCTTCGGCACACCGCTGACACGCTTCGTGGCCCCATCGGGCACTCCGCCCGAAGACCCCAGTGGCCACGTCCGCATGGCGGCACCGCACCAATTTCGGGACACCCCTTACACTATTCGTTGCCCCACAGGGAGCTCCACCGAAGGCCCCAGTGGCAGCGTCTGCATGGCGGCACCGCGCCCCATGTCGGCACACCCCTCACACATCCGTGCTCCCTCCTTCATCTCACCGGCCTCGCGATATTCGCAGCTGTACATGGTTGGGTCCTTCGCCAGGATACTTAGCAACGTGGTCCCGTAGAGATCTGAATCGCTTCCTCAGAATTGGCGTTTCATCCTGAGTCGTTTTGTGACGGTCCCGGGGCCCAGTGGTTTCAAATTGCCGAGATTTTTGTTGGTCGTGTGTGTTTCGCAACCAGAGGAGGTCGCGATTTGTGTAGATTTGGCGGTACCCACAGGGGGGTGGCGTGAGGGGTGTGGGGTTCTAAGAAGGCGGCGGGGTTTCTTAGAATGCAGGGGGGCTCCTTAGAAGCCCACCAGGCCTTTAAGAAGCTTTCTTAGGAGCCCACGGGGCCTTCGAAGAAGGCCCTGCCTTCCGAGAACCCCCCCCGCTTTCTTGGTAAGCCGCCCCCTCCCGCCACCCCAAGTCGGCGCCTCCACTGGGCGACCGTGTGCTTCATCTCCTGGCGATAACGGGCGTGACCGGGGGGGAGGGGGGGAGGGGGGCGGTCACGCCGCGATTCGCGCTGGCGCCGTCCGCGCGCCAGCGCGAATCGTGACGTGACCAGGGAGGGGGGATGGGCGGGGGGGGGCGACGCCAGTCAGTGAATGATACACAGTGGGCTTTAGATGTGCAAAGTCCGCGTTTCGCTAGGGACCGGTTTCCCCCCAGGGACCGAACCCTTCCCGAAACCTTCCGAAAGCCCTCGCCGAAGGGTTTCTGCGAGGCTTCTCTGAGGGTTCCTGGAGAGTTCCAGGAGGGTTTTGGTTGTGCTGGGCGGGAACCAGTCCCCACCGAAACTAGAGCTTTCCACCTCTAGATGTTTCCGTTTTTGAGGCCGCCATCACCAGCATGTCCGAGAGCGCGCAGGTGGCCTCGCGCAGCGGCTACCTGACGAGCTTGGATGAGCTGCTGCCGCCGCCCTCCGAGGACCTCGCCGTGCTGCGGGAGGAGTCCGCTAAGGATCGGGGGCAGCGTCAGGCGGGGGATAGGCGCAGGCCCAGCGGAGGTTTGAGGTTGTCTGACGTTTTCAGTTCTCTGGGGCCTGCTGCAGACTTCTCGTGGCCTCGGCTGGGTCCGCGCCGAACGGGTGAGCATGGACCCTGAGAAAGAGGTCTGGGGGATAGATGTTGAGCGGATTCGGGCTCAGAGTGTTCTAGGTTTGAGTTCATCGGCGGCTTTCCAGCCTCGGGATGCCTTCCAGCGGCTGTGCCTCGTCGAGAGCGTTCCAGATGATCGCCCCAGACGGCCGCCGGAGTCCCGAGTTCTGGCCCGAAAACCATCCGGGGGTAGGCTCAGGAAGGAATGCGTCGACCCGCAATCGCCAATTCATCACCTGGAGGGGTCCAATAGCCCAGCCCGCCCTGGAACGTTCGGATTCGCTGTCGGGGGCCTATCGCCGATCTATCGACGACGTATCGCCGATTCCAGATCGATGTTGCCCGCCCCCCTGAGCCAGTCCCCCTGGTCGTGTCCCCTCAAAGGAGCTCCCGAGGATGATCGAGGAGTTCTCCCCCGGGAAAGCGGAGGAGCTGAAGCTGCGGCGGCTGGGCGAGGGTTTCCGGGAGAGGAGCGCCGGCTTCGTGGACGCGATGGTGCACCAGCAGGCGTGGCCTCGGGATGCCGCGGAGGTCGTGTACCAGCTCAGCTACAACGTCTTCTCCGTCCCGCTGGCGGCAGCGCTCCAGGCGCGCGACCGCCGGTGCCAGGGAAGCCACACGCTCACAGGCCCGAAAACCATCACGTCACCAATTTTGTGCCCCAGGGCCCACTGAGGCCGCAGGGGCCCCAGATTAGTGAAGTGATGTTCTATCCCACGCAAGGGCCCCGAAATTCATCACTGCACTAAACCGAGCCCAGGACGAAAGTCAGGGGCCGAACTGCTGCTGTGATGCAACATCGGTCTCGTAACACGTGGCACTAACACAACAGCTCGGAGGCCCGCGCGGATTCCGCGGATAGGCGCTGGGAGCCCCTCTGGCGGCGCCTCCGGCGCCGCCCCTGGTGCGCTCCACGCTCCAGGGAGGGGGGTCCCGCGCCGGTCCGAGGAACCCGCGCGGAGCTCCGAGCTCTTGTGTGTGTGTATGCCACTTGCTGTTCCCCTATAGGTACGCCGCCTCGACCCACCTGCTCCACCGGCTGTCAGGGGCAACGATGGGGGTGGATAGGCATCGGGGGGGATGCATCGACCCCCAATCGCCCATTGATCGCCGATATGGGGCCCGATAGCCCAACCCCGCCCAGGAAGGTGCGGGTTCGCTATCTGGGGCCTATCGCCGATCTATCGACGATGTATCGCCGATTCCAGATCGATGTTGCCCGCCTCCCCGAGCCAGCCTCCCTGGTCGTTTCCCTCCGAAGGGGCTCCCGAGGATGATCGAGGAGTTCTCCCAGGTCGATGCCTCCCCCCCCCCGTGCCAGGTCCCCCCTTTCGTTGCCCCTCAGGCTGGTCTGCGAGCACGTGAGCCGGCGCCGGGCCGCTGCCTCGGGGGCCGCCCCGCGGCTGTACAGGAATCTGGGGGGGAGAGCAGCCCACGGGCACAGGTGATCGTCGACTCCCGGGTCAAGCGCAGGAAACTACGGGGAGTGGGGGGGGTGGGAAGACAACACACGCATGGCACTCGTGGGCAAATATGGGGAATCCTGGGATGTGTGTGTGTGTGTGTGTTTTCGGGCGAAGAGAACTACGCACATGCACCGATCCTGGCAAGGCCCATCCTTGACCCAGGATCGGTGCATATGCCTTCCTAGCCAAGGTAGGAGGGCGTATGCACCGATCCTGGGCTCAGGATGGGCCTGGCCAGAATCGGTGTACGTGCATGGTTCTTTTTCCTCTATGTGTGTGTGTGTGTATTTACTTGTGTGTCCCCCTTCATAGGAACCTGACGGGCCAGACCAGCCTCGTCAGCGGCGACCCGGCCTGGGCCGCGCTGCAGCGGCCCGCCGACGCCACGGGCTTCCGGGGGCTCGTGTGCGGGGCCGTCGTGACGGGGCCCTCGCGGGCGAAGAGGGGCCGGGGCAGCGATGGGGGGGGGGGACAGGCACAGGCGACCGGGGGGGGGGATGCCTCGACCCCCAGTCGCCCAACGATCGCCGACAGGGGCCCGAGAGCCCCAGCCCCGCCCAGGAAGAGGGGCGGCTCCACGACGGGAGGCCTGGCGCCGATCCATCGGCGAGGTGTCGCCGATCCCAGGCCGCTGCGTCCCCCCCCCCCTGTGCCGGCCCCCCCCCCCCGTCGTTGCCCCTCAAAGAATCAGGAGGGAAAGGAGCACACGGGCACAGAGTGAGTCGGCGACTCCCCAGGAAGAGTGGGGAAGTATGGGAGGTGGGGGGGGGGGGAGACAAGCACCCAGAAGCTATGGGCAACTGTGGGGAACCCTCGTATTTGTGTGCGTTTAGCTGTGTGCCCCGGGGCCCCTTCAAAGAGGTGGTAGCCTCTGGTCCGCTGCCTCGCGGGTCGGGCCCCCCGGGGCCGCGGCCCCGCGGAGACCCCCGGCGCGTCTTCTCGCAGGGGCCCCGCGCGGAGCCCGTGCCCCCCGACGGCATGCCTTTTTCAGAGCGTCCACCCTCCTCCTCCTCCTCCGGCTCCTCCTCCTCCTCCTCCTCCTCCTCTCCTCCTCCTCCTCCTCCTCCTCGTCCCCCCTCCTCCTCCCCCCCCTCCCCCTCCCCCCCCTAGGTCTCCTCCCGTAGATGGACAAAAAAGTGGAACCCCTGACACCACGCCCCCCGACGGCATCATTTTTTCAGAGCGTCCACCCCCAGAGGTCTCGACCCACTCCCCAGGGCCAGCTTTCAAGCAGTGGCGAAGCGTCCCGGCTCGCCTATCGCCCCACCAAGCCGTGCTCTAAGAGCCTTTTTGCAGTTCCCACGAGATGTTTTCAGAACACTTCTGTTTGGGACTGCCTTGTTTCAATAACACATCGGGTTTATGTTCTAAGAGCATTGTTCTTGTTATCAGAGCATTTTTGGGTTCTGAGAACATGTCGTGGTATGACTATAGGAATGCCGGGACGGTCGGTCCCTGCTCAAAGCTTCTCGTCCTGGGCCGTCTTTTGGCGGCCCCGAGGCTTAGGAAGGGTCCCCAGGAGGCCGAAAATGGCAGAACACACTTCCCGTCGTGATGTTCTCAGGACTCGGGGGGGTCTGGGAACGTGTCCGTGCGACCGCGTGTCCGCGGGATCGCGCCCCAGATATGTTCGCCGCTCGTGAGGTCCAACCACCCGTGCGACGTGACGCCCGCAGGCATGGCGCCCAAGCTCGGCGAGGAGCACCAGCCGCAGGACTCCGACGTCGTCTGTTTCGAGAGCAGCGACCCAGACGCCTCGGGAAACCTCCACAGCGCGGTGATGCTGAGCGACCACCTCGGCCTCTTCCCGCCCCACACCCTCTTCCGGGTGAAGAAGGTGCTGGTTGGAGCCGTCTGGGGGTCTTACAGTCGGGGCGCTGAAGAAGGAACCCTTCTCGTTGGGGAGGGGCTCCGTGTTCCTTCATTGTTTTGCAGCCTGCCTGAGGTTTTCCGCAGGTTTTCGATGGGAAGTCAAAGTTTGACTTATGGAACAATGGGGCCCCGTTCCTTATTTGGGGTTCCTTAGGTCAAGGCCTCGACTGTAGGTGGCCCAGCACTGGCTCCGGCCAACAGGAAGGGCGGGCAGGGTCGAGGTTCTGGGTTCGGGAAGCTTCTTTTTTTTTTGTTGTTTGTTTTTTTTTTTGGGGGGGGGGGGGGGGGGGGGGCAATTTCGGCCTCTGGTGACCGTGTTCGGGCCCAGGGACTGCGAAAATCTGATCCGGGGTGAAACTGCACCAGAGGAATCTCAGGAGGGGACAAAAACACACAGACACAATTAATCGTCGATTCCCCAGAAAATATGGGAAAATATGAGAAGTGGTGGGGAAGACAAAAACCCAGAAAATATAGGAAAATATAGGGAATCTTTTTATTTGTGTGTATTTATTTGTGTGTCCCAGGGCGCCTTCAGAATCCCGGAAGGGGTGGTCTGTGCACCGATTTTGAGCGTATTTGGCCTCACCCTCCCCTCGTGGCCGATTTTCTTGGGTCCCCGGTCGCCTCCAAGGTGCTGGGGCCGCCCTTTGACGCCTTCGTCGACGGCGGCACGACCGTGTCCGTGAACCAGCGCTGCTTCGTGGTGGCCCCCACGTTCCGCCCTGCCGCGGGCGGCGTGGATGAGGCCGGCAGCAAGTTGACGGGCAGCGTCGCCACGTTGTCCTACGGCAGCTTGAAGGACTACGTGGCGGGCCCCGGAAGCCTGGCGGACAAGCCCGTGCTCACGATGGAGATGGAGTTCGGCCGTGCCCAGACGTGGACCGACTGGAAGGGCGTCTCCTACTCCCTGCAGGAGTGCTGGCAGTACGTCTGCGGCCCAGCCGAAGAGCGCGACGGCTGCACGCCCGGGACCCGCGACAGGGGCAATTCCGGCGTGACGCCGAGCGGGTTCCGCGACCGCATCTCGGGGAGCAGACAAAGACGTAAGCAGACATTTTCGGAGGTCCGCGCGGATTTCTCGGATCGGCGGTGGACCTCCCCCCTCGCGCGTGGAGCGCGCCAGGGGCGGCGCTGGAGGCGCCGCCAGGCGGCCCCAGCGCCGATCCGGGAAATCCGTGCAGGGCTCTGACAGTTTACTGTGGAGACCCATGCCAAGAAACACCCTGCTTGCCTCCAGGGTGCCCTGGGGCTCTTGGGCTTCGATTGTTTTGCGATGGGGTGCGTGGCGTTCCCGCACCAAAAAAGCAATGGACGTCCGTCTCAGGGGGTTGCCTTTCTTGTGGAAGGTCTCTTGTGCTCGGGCCTCCACTGTGTGTTGATGTCGATGTTTTTTCCCCTGTCGTCAACCAGAAGATCGCGGACCGCCGGCGCGAGGGCTGGGGCAGGGACCTCTCGGGTGTTGCTAGGAGTGCTCCAGGAGTCCCCAAGGCGGCCCTCAGGATTTCGAATGGAGCAGTCCTTCCCTCCTCCCTCCTCCCTCCTCCCTCCTCCCCCTCCCCCTCCTCCTCCTCCTCCTCCTCCTCCTCCTCCTCCTCCTCCTCCTCGGCCCAGGGGGGCTCAGGGGCTACAGAACGGAGCGAAACTCTGGCGGCACCTTGGGCCAGGAGCACCTTTTCAGCAACCCCCGAACCTCGACGAGAGCTACGCGCTCCTGACGCACGAGGAGGTCCTCGCCGTCCGGCTGTACTCGGGGCCGGCGTACGACCCGCTGAACCGGTTCCTGCGGCAGGCGAGCCTCCTGTACGGGGAGAGCCGCCAGCTCTGCTCGGGGAGCAACACCCAGCACAGACAGAAACTTTCGGAGCTTCGCGCGGATTTCGTCGTCGTCGTCGTCGTCGTCGTCGTCGTCGTCCTCTTTTTTTTCCTCCTCCTCCTCCTCCCCCTCCTCCTCCTCCCCTCCTCCTTTCCTCCTCCTTTCCATCCTCCTCCTCCTCCTCCTCCTCCTCTGCCTCCTCCTCCGCCTCCTCCTCCTCCTCTCCTCCTCCTCCCTCCTCCTCCTCCTACCTCCTCCTCCTCCTCCTCCTCCCCTCCCTCCTCCTCCTCCTCCTCCCTCCCCCTCCTCTCCCCTGCTCCTCCTCCCCCTCCTCCTCCCCCTCCTTCCTCCTCCTCCTCCTCCTCCTACTCCTCCTCCTCCCCTCCTCTCCTCCTCCCTCCCTCCCTCCCTACCTCCCTCCTCCTCCTCCTCCCTCCTCCCTCCTCCCTCCTCCCTCCTCCCTGGCCGCGCCACAGTCGAGTCTGTGCTCACGCAGTCGCTCTGCAACGCATCCCTGGATATTTTCCGAAGAGCCGCCAATTGCGCACTCTTCTGCCCACGCGTTCTTCGGACGCTCGGCTAAGTTGTGGTGGAGTCGCAGCTTTGTCGGAGCGGCGCTGGACCGCCCTGGCGGCGCCTCCGACGCCGCTGCTGGCGCGCTCCGCGCGCCAGAAAGGGGGTTCCAGCTCCGATCGAAGAAGTCTGCGCGGAGCTCCCAAAGTTTATGTCTATGCAGTTTTTTGTTCCTCTATCTTCTGCCGAGACGTGGTGTTCACGTTCGCGGCAACTGTCGGCCACCTGCTCCACGCGGTGCGGAAGCTGGCCGCCGTCGCGACAGCGGAGGAGAGCGCCAGGCCGTTGTTCCGCGGCGTCCGCGGGGTCCTGCCCAGGGGGTTCCGTTCGGTAGCAAAACATGGGAGCCGTGTATACCCTCGCAATTCCGCATGAGCGTCAATTAGCGTCGGGGGGTACTTGATGTGATAGCGCCGAAGTAGCATCGACTAGCATCGATCAGCGTCGCTTTGGCGTTAATGAGCGTCGAGTCACAAGAGGCAGCAAACTGGTATGGGAGGCTCCCATGAGTTGCCACCGCAGGTTCTGGATCCCTTCTCAGAGTGGCATGATCTGCGCCACGGACACTGCGTTCATGAGCACGAGCAGAAACGAGCAGACGCCCATTGACTATCTGAAGGGCGGCGCCCTCGGCCGCGGGGCCATCTTGCGGCCGTATGGGACATTTCTGGGCTTGGGTTTCCTGGGGCTTCTCGCGCCAGCCTCTGGTGTGTGTGTATAGATATATACATATATGCAACTAAACATACATATATATACACATACATATCTATATATATTTATTTATTTATTTATTTATGTATTTATTTAGTTATTTATTTATGTATTTATTTATTTATTTATTCATTTATATATATATATATATGTATGCATTATATTTGGCGATCTTGGGGCCATGCTGGGGCCTCTCGGGCTTACATTGGGGGCCTCTTGTGGGGGCAACTTGTGGCCGTGTCGGGGCTTCGTCGGGCCATCCTGGGCGGTCTGGACGGCATCAAGCAAACCGTGCCGAGCGCTCGTTCTACAGGACGCCAGTGACTGTAAGGGCTGCACCCTGGGGGCCCTTTGGGGCCACCTCGGGGCTGTCTTCAAGGAGCAAACACATGAACCACTAGAAACATGCTTTCACCTCTCGGCCATCTCGGAGCCGTGCTGTGCTCCCGATGCCCTCTTCTGACCTGCCTGGCCCGCGTTGGGTCTCGTGGGCTCTCCTGGCCGTCCGCTGGCGTCCCTGTTGGAACCATGGGGCAGCCTCAGCGGCTGGGAGACTTAGCCCCCACCCCGATGCGTGTCTGGCGCAGCAGGGAGGAGGAGGAGGAGGAGGAGGAGGAGGAGGAGGAGGAGGAGGAGGAGGAGGAGGAGGAGGAG